GTCTCTCCTCACCTGTAACCCTGGGGCTGACTGCTCTTCTGTCCAGGTTCCTGGCTTTTATCCCCTTTCTCCTGCTCTTCCGGCCTGCTACTCTGGGCGGGCCTGAGTTTCCTCTCCTCACCTAATCCCTTTGGCTGATATTTATATTTATGGAGATAGAAAAAATTATTTCTGCCAATAAATGTTGAAAGGAAACACTGGAATTAAAACTTAAAGCTAAATCCTCCCTCATCCTCCACCAAATATTTTTTAATTAATCTAGTTTAGGTGTAAGGAGCTCTGGTGGCATGTTGGTTAAAGCATTTGCCTACTAACTGAAAGGACAGTAGTTCAAACCCACCAGCCACTCCACAGAGAAGGATGAGCTGGTCTGCTTCCATAAAAATGTCATGTCTTAGAAACCCTATGGGGCAGTTCTACTCTGTCCCATAGGATTGCTCTAAGTCAGAATCTACTCTTTGGCAGCGATGGGTACGTGGGGACTTTTGGTGAATAGAAATTCCTGGGGACACTACCATTTATATCCTGTTATTATTGCAGGTGATGCTAAAGGGCAAAGCAAAGCTTCTTTCATAATGAACATAGGATGCTAAGAATGAGGTTGGATAATTGAGTAAGAACCAGTCTGAGGAACACCAGATGCAGACAAATATTAATCTGTCAGCAAGTACCTAGTGAGTACTTACTAGGCCAGATCATCTATTAACAAAGTGACCACTAATCATCTCAAGTCTTTGAAAAGAATCCAGTTGTTAAGTCATAAAGGGATGCAGTATTCAAAACTAACACAAGCCAAAATAAGATGAAAGTTTTATAAAACAGCTACCATTCTTTATAATCACTTTAAAGAAAACCACAGGACAAAACTACTAACCAATAACCAGTGTAATCGCACATACAGGAAGAAGATAAGGTGCTATCATTTTAGCACTCTTTAGTGGCCAGTGAAGGTATAGTGATCTATGCATTGAGACTTCTGCAGAAAGTATCTGCTAAGAAAACTGTTGTTTTTGTTATTTGCCAGCGAGTCGGACCTCACTCATAGTGACCCCTCCTTGGGTTTCCAAGGCAGTATCACTACGGAAGTAGATTGCCTGACCTTCCTTCCAGGCTAAGAAACCTAGTCACAGTAAATTCATCTGGGTTCAGCTCGAGTTATCTAGGGTAACTGGCTCTTCTAAAAAAATGGTTGAATGGGATAAAAATTACTTTGCAAATTTGAATACCCATACCCATCACTGTGAAGTAAATTCTGACTCATAGCCACCCTACAGGGCAGAGCAGAACTGCCCCATTGGGTTTCCAAGTCTGTAATCTATATAGAAGCAGACTGCTGCATCTTGCTTCCATGGAGCAGGTGGTGAGTTTGAACTGCTGACCTTAAGGTTAATTGCCCAAGACTTAACCACTGTACCATCAGTGCTCCTTACAAATCTGAATAGGCCCTGATAAATACTCAAATATACCCTATTTTAAGCAGTTATGTAAAAACATGTTGAATAACCAGTTATATAGTTCTCAAAATTTTTTTAACTGAAACTCTAAATCATTTAAAATTCATTTACCTCAATCAATGAGACAAGATGAAAAGAAGAGGGGGGAAGGAATGCAAAGCAGTATAAGAAATTTTCCCAGGATCAATCTACATGTTTTATCTGTCTGCCTTATAACTAACAATTCAATTGTTCCATCAGTCTAGTTGACCTCCTTTGTTTTGTTCAGCATGCCAGTTTAAGACTAGAAAGCCATTTCCACAAAGACATAAAAAGCTATAAGAGTTCTGGAAGAAGCTTATAAAACAGGAATTCTCTAAAAGGCAAATTTGGCTCACCACCTGTTTTCGTATGGCCCATGAGCTAAAAATGGTTTTTACGTTTTTAAATGACTAAAAAGAAAAATCAAAATAGGACTATCTCAGAACCTGCAAAAATGAAAGGAACTCAAATTGAAATGTCCAAAAATAAAGTTTTACTGAAAGACAGTCACCATTATTTGTTTTTACACATTGTCCATAGCTGCTTTTAAACTATAATAGCTGAATTAGTTGAGACAGAGACCATATGGCCTATGATGCGGAATATATCTACTATCTGGCATAAAAAAGTTTGCCAAAACCTGTCCTGTAGTAAAAGTTGCTACTAATTTGCCTTGAAATAAGTGACTTTAGCTATGTAGCTTTGCACAAGAGATTCCAGATGGTTTTGCTGATCACCAGCTGAATAATAGAAAATTTATTTTATCTCATTGTAGTTAAGCTAAAAGGCAGCAAATTTCAATGACTTTTTAAAACCATATTCTTTAACAAAGAATGTAGTTCTTTTACCCCTTCATTATTTCCAGTAGGAAAGGGCTATAAGAACGTTAATTGTCTTACTTCCTTTACCATTTAACAAGCCCTAGGTCTACCACTTCTACATAAAAGACAAACAGAACATATGGGCATTTTTTTCTTCAGAACAGAAAACATCAGAGGGTACACAGCAAGGGATCATGATACTGTCACTTTTTGGCATAATTATCTAAGGCCTTAAGATTAGCTACAATGTTACTTTCTGCCTCAGAATAAAATCTTTAGTGTATTTTTTTTTAATAGGAAATTTCTGATACTGAAAGAACAATTCAATGAAAATCCCTATAAACTCTGCCTAGATTCTCAATTATTTACAGGCTGACATATTTGTTTCTTTCATTTCCTTATCTATCTTTTCTGGTCACAGTTGTTGAATCTTTAGAAAGTAGAGCTCACTGTAATACTTTACCCTAAATACTTCAGCAAACAATATTAGGATAATAATTTTCAAGGAAATAAAGATACAATAATATAGAGAAGGTGTTCCACAACCTACTTTGGTGAGTAGTGACTGGGGTTCTCAAAAGTTTTCTAAGATGCAACTATTGGTCTCCTCTCGTCTGAATCAAAGGAGAGTGAAGAAAATCAAAGGCATCTAGAAACAAGCAGTCCAAGGATAAGACAGACCTTGAGGACCTCAGCCTTCATGACCCCAAGACCAGAAGATCTAGATGGTGCCCAGCTACCAATGCCAACCACTCAGAAAGGGATCAAAACTGGAGAGCCTGGCCAGAGTGGGAGGAAAAACGTGGAACAAAATTCAAAAACACAAAAACAACCAGAATTACTGGTCAAATAGAGTCTAGTGGAACCCCCAAGACTATGGCCTAGGGTTATCATTCAGCCCTAGAATTGGACTCACTCTCATGGATTGGCACTGAGCCCAACAAGAGAACACCTACATGCAGAACACCTACCCCAGGGCAATGCAATCACCAAGTATAGGGAGATAACACCACTTAGAGCAACCTGCCAGGAGGCACTAGAGGGGCAGCATTCACACAGAGGGGAAGCTAGACAGACAGAAGTGCATAGTTAAAACGGGTACAGGGAGGGGGTAGTCACAGGGACAGGAGGTGAAGAGAGTTTGTTATGGTCGGAGATGGTAATGGGGGCCTGACATCAAATGTACAGGAACTGTTAAATGTAAAACTAATTTACTCTGTAAATTTGCACCCAAAGCACAATTTAAAAAAGGGGGGGGGTGTTAAAGGGACACAGATTAAGTGAAGATACAGTAACTTCCAAGAGGCCAGTAATCCAAAGTTAACAACAGGGTGTCATTTTACTGAGACAAGGAGAGTAGTCTGATTAATACAATGATTGTCTAAAGAGATCAGGGCCTTTTACCCTCCACTCTGCAATGACTTCTTCTTATATGCCTCTGACACTTACCTAAGGGCAGCAGCATGGTAGGTGTCAACATAATCGGAAATGAAAAGCTCTCGGTTCTTGATAACTGGGTCTGTAATGACAAGTTCTCTTCCAGAGTCTGTCAAAAATAAATAAATAAGTGATTTATTAAAAGGATATTAAAAATGAGCTTCTCAAAACAACTAGGAAAATTTCTCAAAACTTTTCTTTCAGGTTCACCTCTCACTAACTAAAGAAAGCACAATAAACAACTAGGCCTGTCCAATGTTTTAAGTATTCAAAATAGAAAAGAGGAATAATACATACAGCAAGAACACTGGGAATAAAGCGTGTATTTTTTGTCACCTGATGAAACATCTTGTCAGGTTTATTTTCTACCCTTAACTTTGGTGACAGAAATGGAGAAGGAAGTGGGTAGAAGAGGGAAAGGAGATCCATTGATTTTAAAACATACCATTATTTCTGTATAGTAATTATATATTTTGGCCTTAAAGTCAACAAATAAATAAAAGTGGATACTTTCAAAAACTTATCTCCTCATAATACCCTATGTTCCTCCTCCTAAGATCCCTTAAAACAGAATTCTAACAGGTCAAAACCACAGTTTGCTGAAATATATTAAGCACAAAATGAAAAAATAAGAAAAAAGAGAAAAAACATCTGTCACGGTCTAGCAACACCAAATACTAAAATATTTAATGAATTTTTCTATCTTACTTTTTATTGCTAAAAATTCCAGAATGAAGTGGCATCACACACTGGTTCAGTTAAAAAAGAATAACCAAATTGCTTATAATATGGAACCAAAATTTAACTACTTTACCAGAAATTTTTATAATTTCAGAAAAGAAATAAGCTAGTAAGATACAAAAGGACATCATTCTTCAAAGCTCTTTGACTGCTAATGTACTGACTCAAAACACATCACTGAAAGCTATGCGGAAGAGTAGAAAGAGACAGGCATCAGGGTGCTACAGAGCTGAGACCCGACCCTAGGTGAGGCCACTACTTAGGAAAGAAGGAGTCTCCCTGTAAGCCTCAATTTCCTCAGCTAGAACTGGGAAGGGACAAACCTCAAATTATTTATGGGTGACAAGTGAGAATCATCTACCATGAGGCCTAGCACCTCTCAAGAATCAATAAAATAGAACTATTCTACATATGAACAAATGTAATATATATATATCCACATACATACCTCATTTGTCAGTAAGTTTACTGAGGAGAAACTACAAAACCAAAGGAAGAAAATACTGAGGAGAAACTACAAAACCAAAGGAAGAAAAACAATCAGTTGCTCTGAACTACCTATCTTCCTTCCTATTGTTCTGAAACTGAGGATCTCAAAATAAATTCCTAAAAATGATTCAGAAAGCTTTGCTACAAAAACTGAAGTTCACAACCCTGAATACAGAGAGGTTCTATAATTTTCTCAGACTACAGAGACGGGAAAACAAAATAAAATATAATCCTATAGGGTTTAAAATATTATTTTCTTATCATTAGGTGAGAAAAATGAGTTAAAAATGAAATTAGTGTTATTTCTATTCCAAGTTTAAGGGGAAGACATTACTAGTACACGTTCAGGGATTAAAGAGAAGAAAGAAAAAGAAAAAAAATAATAATAATGAAAGAACTTAGGGAAAAATGAACAAGCCAATATGTCCCGATTTATAAAAAGCTTCTTTTCAGATAAATTTGTCATAATGTTTTATCTCCTTATAATAAATGTCTTTAGAAAGAACGAAAGCTTAAAAAAAAAAAAAATCAGACAGAAGGAAAAATTTACCATTTTCATTATGTCGATCCTGAACCAAATGCTGATATACAGAATCTGGAACTTCAGACTGACGGTAGTACCATTTGACGTTCATGAGTAGATGGTCCCTCTTACTCTGAAAAGGAAAATCTAACAGCATTAGGAACAGGATTTCAGGTGCCCACTGGTGCATACCATACCCCTGACCAAAAGACTCTGGAAATAGGTGGACAAGCAAAGAGGAGACACACAACTACCACCAGGATCACAAAAATGCTTAAGCCAATTACAAGGTCCACTTTTATTAAAATAAAAATCCTAGCCATAGCACCCTCTGACCCTACGCCTCTCAAAGGTGGTTATATTTCAGGAAACAAAAGATACCATACTTGAATCTGTACCTACCCCCAGTGTGATTAACTGATACATTTAATATCTATTTTGAAATTTAACATTAACTATATAATACTAGGCAGTGTTTTGTTCTGTTGTACATAAGGTCACTATGAACTCACATGAACCTAAAGGTACACGTAATACCACATGAATCTATATCCTCCTTCTATCTTTATCTAGTGAGTGCATAGTTACATAATATTTTAGGCACAGCAGCAAGGCTTATTAAGAATAAGCTAGACAGACTTAGCCACTAAGGCCTGGCACAAAAGTCATCTCCTCTCCAAGGTCTGCCTGCCACCAACATTGAATTAGATTCTCCTTCTACGTTACTGCCACAGGACCTTGCAGTTATTGCTATTATGGCAAACTAGTATAACTGCAAACTATTGGTGGTGATGATGGGACTGCAAGTTTATAGAACAGGTACCCTGCCTTATTTATCCTGGAATCTCCAGAGAATAGACACCTTCTACATAACTGTTCGTGTATGAATAAAGAATTCTATGATTATCAGTGTCCTGTAAATGTTTATGGGGCACTTAATCATTGTAGGAGCTCTGGTGGCCTAATGCCTAAGGCATTTGACTGCTAATCAGAAGGCTGATTGTTCAAACCCACCAGCCACTCCTCAGAAGGAAGGCTGGGCAATCTACTTCCATAGTGATACTGCCTGGGAAACCCAAGGAGGGGCCGCTATGAGTTGGACCCGACTCAACGGCAGTGCGTTTTTTTTTTATTTTTTAATCATTGTGTAAGAAGCTCTGGTGGCACAGTGCCTAAGGCATTTGACTGCTTACCAGAAGGCTGTTGGTTCAAACCAACCAGTCACTCCGCGGAAGGAAGGTGGGCCAATCTACTTCTGTAAAGATTTACTTTAAAACCTTCGAAACCTAACGGAGGTTGCTAAGAGTCAGAATGGACTCAATGGCAGTGGGTTTGTTTTTTTTATTGCTTGTTTGTTTTAATCATTGTATCCCCCTAAAAGTAAACTCTGCATTCTAATACATTCAAATATATATTAGTGATCACGCATTGCCCTCCCACTGGAAGGTTTTGAAGCTACACTTGTGGCAGATCACATCTGTGTACCTAATCGTGAAGCATGTTAGCGTGGCAGTGTATGGAGAGATTTGACAGGCCTTCATAAAACATTTTCCCAACCCTGGTGGTGGTCTCTATAGACATCTCCATGATGAATACAATATTATTATTCTTCGTAGCCTCTACCTTTTCATCATAGGTCAACCAATAAAAAGGTATGAGAGCTAATTTTTTTAAATCACTCACTTTTATAAAGGAGATGGCTAAATCCTAAAACATGTCAAAAGAGTCTGCATTACTGAAGAAAATCACTTCCTGTTTAATGAGAAATCACAAATATACTCTTCAATAAAAGACCAGGAAGGTTCTGAAAATCTTTGGTAACTAAAACACTTAAGCCATTTAATGAACCAGAAACAAAACAACTACCAAAATTCTGACTGAACTCAAATGTGAAAAATGTTAATCCAAGTTAAATATTGTACACATCAAGCTTCTCACTTTGCAATTAACTGCATCAAACAGGCAGATCTACAAAAACTGGTTTTAATTAAAAAAAAAAAAAAAAAATCTGGACAAAGGGCAGCTTGAGGGTACTCAGGGATAAACTTAAATAAAATATACTGTCTAATAAAGGAAGGCTTCTCACCCTCAGCACTGCTGACATTTGGGTCAGATCATTCTCTGTTGTCAGGGGCGCTGTCCTGTGCGCTGTAGGACGTTTAGCAGCATCCCTGGGCTCTACCAATAAATATCACTGCACACACCCTACCTTCAAGTTGTCACAACCACAAATGTCTCCAAACATTTTGAAATGTCACCCGTGGGACAAAACTGCCCCCAGTGGAAAACCACTGGTCTAACGGTTTCCTCTTTTAAGCGAAGGTAAGCTAGCATAGCAAAAATAAAACCTCGTTCAAGCACTACAGGGTAGAACTAGGTATATGGATTACTGAAAAGAATGCACTAGTTCAAATTCCAGTTCCACTACTTCCTAGCTCTGTGATTCCAGACAAGGAACCAGGATTCTTTAAGCCTTAGGTTCATTTTCTATAAAATCAAAACACTGAAATCTACCTACAAAGAGTCACAAAGACTGAAAAGCACCTGAAACTGAGTAGAGGGTCATTCACTGAGCTACCATTCACTGAGCTACCGCTGAATCCTTAACACTCACAATAATGAATTACTTACTGGGCACACAAGAATTCAGATCTACTCACAGTGCCATCAGCAATTTTCTAAAATCTATACTTGATTTCTGCAGCACAATTAAGATGTCTGAAACCCTAAAAGGGCAACAGAAATGCCTTTTAGGTGCAATAACCAGCAATTGTACAACGTCTACTCTTCAGAATCAAGTCAGCGGTTCTGCAACCTTCTGAAGTATATAATCTCTGCTACCATAAGACTGGGAGCTCTGATGGTATAATGCCTAAGGCATTTGACTGCTAATCAGAAGGCTGGTGGTTTAAGCCCACCAGCCACTCCTTGGAAGGAAGATTGGTCAATCTACTTCCATAGTAATACCACCTGGGAAACCCAAGGAGAGGCTGCTATGAGTGGGATCCAACTCCACAGCAGTGCATTGCATTGTGTTACTTTATGACTGAGAAACTTATCGATTATACACAAAGAAATTATTGCTTTGATTATTTGAACCTAGATTTATGGCTCGCTCACTAGACTTTACAAAGGCAAGTGAAGGGACTCTTGGATTTCCTAATGCAGTACTACCTAAAAACCAGGGTGTGGCAGCATTGCTTAAAAGTAAAAAGCCTCCAGGCTCTAACAAACACACAAAGAAAAAAAAGTTTTGAACAGATTTAAATAGCTCTAATTGACACAATCTTCCTAAATAGGCAGTAAATTAAACATCTCTAAAGAGGAAGTGTGTGTGCACAACTAAAACCAAGTAATCTAGTCTTATCAGGAACACTGGTTCACTGGGAGTGACCTAGGTCGCTAACCCTCTGAATCACCTAACCATCTAGAAAGTGATAGAACAAGATGATTTTTATGGTATCTTTCTATTCTTATAAATTTATGTAGATAAAATGGGGGGAGCTTCCCTTACATTTTCTCTAAAGTCTGAAATATCCAAATATTCTCTTCTAAGGAAGAAAAAAGCAGCAGCTACTTCCATGGAAACTGATTACTACAACACTGGGGAGCAAATGAAGGGAACAGAGAGCATCCCCTCTCCCAAGTAAACATGCCAAATACACCTGAAATTCCAAGTATCCCTCAAATGTTAATCACAGGAAATCCTCACCGTCCTGCCTAACACACCAAGATTTTTGCTCAAACTCACAGAAAAGTACTAAAATGGTATTTAGGGATCATTCCATTAAATCCAAACTACCTGTCTTTCAATCCTGGTTGGCAACTTACTAATAAGCTGTGTAACTTTGAGCAAATTATTTACCTTCTCCCTGCCTCAATTCTCTGATATAAAATGATGGGGGAGGGAAAAAAAAGTCTCTACCTAACTCTACCAGGTTGCAATGACTAAATCAATTAATAGAAGTTGGTTAGCTCTCAATAAATGGTGGATATTACTATCACAGAATGTAATAGTCTTCTACAGATTTTGCTTTTCTCAAATCCAAAACTCTAGGAGTAATAGCAATACTAGCAATACCAAATAAATAATATAGCAAATTGGGGGAAAGTACCTTGTGTTTTACAGTAACTTCAGAAGCAAGTCAAATATTTTTAACAAATATGTCTCATTATTTTGTTAGTGATATAAATGTGTGGTTGCATAAAGGTCAGAGCATCTGTAAATGACCTATTTTTAAAAGAATGTGGAATCAAGTGTGAATCGCTGAGAAGCTTCCCATGTGAAAGTACCCTGGGGTGTATTCTGAATACAGAGTAGAGCTCACTGAAAAGTAAATCATTTCCCATTATTTACTTTTTCAGTTTTTAAGAAAGAAAGACTGGAGTGAGGGCACAGACCAGAGCTAAGCAGAACTCAGTGAACGTGTGCACATCACCTCTGCATCTGATCTGTTTCCAGGGAGTGGTTCTGCACTGAACAGGAGGAGCCCTTTCTGCATACAATCACTGAGTCCTCCACACCACTCACCTGGGATTCTTTTCAAAAGAAGGATGTGTGTAAACTGATGGAAATGGAGAGTGTAATAGAGGACAAAGCCTCCCCACACTTGGGCTTAGGAAAAAGACAAATGGCCTAAACATGGGAATTCCAGGAGAGCCTTGAATGTCAGACAACAGTGTTAAGAATTAATGAAAAAGTCAAAACAGAATTTAAACACTGAGAACTAGGTAACATGAAGATAGACTAGGAAAAGAACAAGGCAATGGAGACAGAAAGGCAAATGGGCAGCTACTGCGGAAAATCCATATTCATCTTGTCAATGCCACAGAGATCAGGCACCCCAAATATAAACTTAAGATCCAAGTCAATAGGGGATTTCCTTTCAGGAGGTCTGAGTATTGATATAGTACTTTCACTGATTTAAAGAGTTAATCTGATTAATGGACCACATGAATCTCAGCCTCCAAAAGAGATCACAGTAAGGTCCTCAATAGAGTGTGAGAAAAATGTGGAACATAACTCAAAATAATATAAAAGGACATGTTTAATGGTCTGATACACTGGTGGAACCCCCTGGACTATGCCCCAACTTAGACAACCTTCAAATCTGAACTGAACTCATCCCCATG